ATTGTAACCTTTCGTATCACCCACAGAGAAATTGTAGGGCAAGTTAAACCGGTCCCTGTAATAATGTCAAGACAGGTAACTCTAGCCTCCTGTGTCAGCAGTAAAATAGGTCAAGAGGGGGTAGTTTAGAACAGTAATTGTGGGGTATTTATAACACCAGGGTATACAAATATACTCCAGGGAGGTACACAGAGACTTTCTTGAGGACCCTTAACTCTAAGTAGGCAAACAAATCATTGAGAAGCCAAAAATTTCACTCAAACAGGACAAATTTCCAAAAACAGACATTTTGGCTTTATATATTCTACAAACAATATCTCTCACATTCAATTAAAACACACAACACTCTGTCATAAGCCATGAAGGTTATACTCACCTTTTCTCAAACACTGATAACAACTTAGATAAAACTCTTTTTCAACAGATCCTTAATTAAAACTCTTTTTGAACAGATCCTTAATTAAAACTCTTTTTCAACAGATCCTTAATTAAAACTCTTTTTCAACAGATCCTTAATTAAAACTCTTTTTCAACAGATCCTCAATTAAAACTCTTTTTCAACAGATCCTTAATTAAAACTCTTTTTCAACAGATCCTTAATTAAAACTCTATTTGAACTGTACTGGATAGGTTACTATGGTTAATCTGGTCAATGTGGTAGGCATGTCATTCAAACATGACTAAAATGCCTAATGCCAATATCAATGGGTATGTCAATTCAGCATCCCTTTCAGAGAGTCCACATAGCTAATAATGTTTATATCAAATTTAGCTTTGTCAACTTTCAGAGCATCCACATAAGCTAATAATGTTTTTTTCGTAATTTTATCAAATTTATTTATATTTATTTGGCCGTTCTAAAATAAACACCTCATTATTTTAAACTGAAACTTGGTCATGGAAATAAAAACCTGTTTTAAAATGTAATTGTAGGACGCAAAATAATATTTATGTAAATATCTGGTTTTTATCACTCTTCAGCTGCAGCCATTTTAAAATGATGCATCATGGAGACCCAAGGTCGGTTAATGACCTTGTAAAAACACAGACGTCTTTCTGTTTTAACAAGATAATCTATTTTCACAACATTCAAAACACCTCATTAAAGTTTCTCGCCCTGCATAATGCTAGTTTATTTTGGTCATTCTTATACAATAAAAAATGATATGTATTTACATCTCCATAGTTACGTCTCTTACATAGCCTTGCAATGGATTCTGATCCAGACTGGCGCCTTACATCTTAGATCTTTTATTTTGAAACACTAGTTTGAAATTATTCATGAGAGTAATGAAAGAATGTTTTTGATTTCTCTAGTCAAACAGTAATATTGTACCAGCCAGCCCCGTTGTTAGGGTGGGGTCCGTGAGGGCTGGGATCCAGCAAGTGAGAATTAAGCCCCATCAAAACCTTCAGCAGATATTGATTCATTTACAGTGTCTTAGTACAAAATCAAAAAGATGTAAATTTCGATATATTTTTGGTACCTCAAAATCGTTAGAAATGAGTTCTCTGGGCCCTTAATTCTTCAAAATCTGAGCCCCAGCACCAATTCATTCCTGGCGACGAGGCTGGTACTAGCTATGATTTGGTCCTAACGATATTGTCTAAATAATGATACTGGATAAACAAAATTCAAAACTAGAAATATTATAATCTTTCAATAACATGTAGAGTAGTCATAATATTATAAAATATCACTATTATAGATACAGAAGTAGTATATAGTAATATTTTCATATAGAAATATAATGTATATATATCAACAATGGTAAATATTGAAGTCTACCAGTGCTATTACTTGAACTGTATTTGCCAGATGTCTGACTGGAGCTCCTTCAAGTCCAATTAGGTCTCTAAGATATTCTCCATTTAAAATCTTTCCAGATAGAGAAACTTTAAACTAGAAATATGTGGAATAAATACTCTATCAACAAGGGGAGATAAGTCTGTCTACATGAATAATCTCAACAGCGTCTGCTGGTCCTAGAATTCACGTCTGCTTAAAGTTAAAATTTCAACCAGACAAAGCTTTCATTCATCCAATCAACAAGTGTCTTACATAAATAATCAACAAGTGTCTTACATAAATATCCTGGCTATCACAATATTTCTCTTGTTCCAAGACAACCTTTACAATGATCATTTCTATAAATAATACTAAGATCTATCTTAGTCATATTATTTAATTTAGATCTGACAATGAAATTTAAAAAACTTCATGAGCTCAGCCTGCAAAATACCTTTCTATCTTCAATGTTATAAGACATCCGATAATAGTTGTCCCAAAACCTTAAAGTCAATTGAATGGTTAATAACAAAAACTGATTTTATATTTAGTATGATTACTCTTCTAGACACCTGATACCACTTTTCATTATGAAATTACTTACTTATCATTGATATACTTCCTCATGTGAAAAGTTGCTACCAAGCTTTTGCCATTTTCAGGCTTAGTTTTGCTGTTGGTACATGGTTAATTTATTTGGCTTAATAACCAAATTTGATAACCATATTTCCTTAAATTTGGATAATAACTTAGTAAAATTTTAAGAAACAAGGACCCTAATAGAATTCTACTAGTAAATATGACCATGTAGAGTTTGTCAGTGAATTAATAATTACCTGAAGAAAATAACCAAAGAAAAGATGACACAAAAATACTCCAAATGTTTAACACAATAAATTTAAAAATAGTGTAATCTTCTGTCTGAATAACCTCCCCTTATTATCAGCCCACCTGCCTGTTATTAGGTAACTATGACAACTGTTAACAGTATAAATATATCTATAGATTATTTCTCATATTGTACCGCCAACAAAAGAATATTGATATTCTGTGAGAATTACAACAAATTCACTCAATAATCCACGTTAAAAATCATGAGCAATGGACGAAATGACATGCAACTAAATGGAGTCACATCGTATTTGACTGTTCCAGCTTGAGATTATGAAACTGGCCATACCATGCAGTGTGCAATGGTATTTGGTCAAATAAAAACATAAACCAGCAAGCAGATAGTAAAGATTTATATGGAGAAGGGGGTAACAGTAAAGATTTATATGGAGAAGGGGGTACTGTTATTGATCAGGGATCCTAAAAGGATAATGGAAAGAAAAGGGATGAAAACCTCCAAACTAAAGAAATGAGTGCCTTATATCTTAGTACTATTCATCCATAAAAACTATTGGCTTGAATTATGAAATGAACGTTACAAAATATTATTATAATATAACTGTGACCTTGGCCGGTGTTTTTATGAGGACTTTCATTTCATAATGTTTATATTAAGATCTATGTGTAAGATAGAGCCTTACCCCCCAGCGGATTGTAGAGACACTTTCAGTGTAATGGGTGTTTAAATTATGACATTAGATTATTGATTGGCAAATTTCATAAGCATGTTTATATTACAGTAATAAACAGGGGGTATCTTTAAGATAATAATCATTTGCAATCTATTTAACATTTTATTTCAGTATTTTCTAATAAAAGTTACTGAACTGTCTTTGAAGTTTCTAAAAACCACCACATCCATTTATCTGTACACTTTTTGTAAATTTGGCTCAAAATCCAGGTTTTTCAACCCAGTTTCCCTTCCAGTAATTCAGATTCGAGGAGCAAACATGGAAACACGCTGAGTCGTTAAGAAAGACGAATACACTGTACCACAGGCTGTGCATGTAAAAGTTTACCCCATTGCACAGTGCATTAGGCCAGTTTTCGTTAATCCAAGCAAGTGCAAAAAAGTGAGACATAAATCACCATTTCATTTTATTTCTCTAGGCCATCTCAAGTTATAAAGAGGAAAGAGTAAGATAAAGGTTAACATACAATGCTATCACACAAAATTTTCCTCATTGGACACTCTAAAGCGTTATCTTACTTCATTATTCAAATCAAGTGCAAAAAAGTAAGACATATAACACCATTTGAATCTTAAGTTATAAAAATGTAAGATTAAGATATAGGTTAAGACACAATGTTATAATAAGATAGGAGAAAGAAGGTGTCCCTGTCTCAAACCCGATCTATTGTAATTTATAGTGATGATATCATCTTGAAGTAATCTTAAAACACACCCAAATTATTCTACAAATTTCTACACAATACAACAATACAACTTATTAAATTTATCATTGGAAAGATAAATAGTTTTAAAACCAAAGTTAGGAAGCCATTGTGAGATTTTGTCAAATGCCATAGAAATAAAAATGACTTCCTGCAGAAAACAGTGTGAAAATTTTCTCACAATTTGGTTCCAGAATCAAATGAATGAAATTGCACGGACAGTAATAGATCAAGGATTTTGAATTCTTGAACCAATGTAAATGTGCAATCTTGAATATTCCTCTCATTTTGCAATTTCATATTTGTAAAAGTTCATATATAAAGAAAATCAGAACCAGCAGAATTGAACTTATAGGTTATAGAAGAATATTGGAATGGATACATTGTGTGACTTTGTATATTTTTGTTATAAATAACCAAGTTATTTTAGTTTCTATCATTGGTCTGATTTATTACAACTATAGCTAAGATAACATCTTATAGTACTCAGAAACAAATATTAACCCTTCAGAAACAATAAACACAAATATTAACCCTTTTAACACTACTGGTTGGTCTAGTGTGCCAATTTTTAGGAAATATGACTGTGAAAAGTTTAAATAATAAATTCTGGTTAACAATAGTCATTCTCATTTAAAATCATGCCTGTATCGATACATTTGACCATTGTTTACTCTATCCAAATAGATTCATATAAGACAGTAAATTTTAACCAATCCAAACAACCATTTACAAGCCAAGGGGATAGTCTGTATTCATATAATGTAGACAAGTTTCATGCCTGTGTATATAATTACAAAACAAACCAAAAAACTGACTGTAGAAGTATGAATATCTATTAATCCCTAATACAAGGTATACTTGCTATGGAGAAACACAGTATAAATATGTATTGGTTTCAGACATGATGAAAAGACAATGATCATTAGCAGACTTGTTCTGAAAGTTTAAACTACAAACAAAGTACAACACAAAAATAGTATGATTCATTCACATATCATCAGCTTGGTTTACTAACTGACTCGAGATAATGTTATAGAATCAACAAGGCCATTGTTTTAACTCCCACCTACACCTTCTAGAAAATACTACAACAACTAAAATACCAAATCTAATCATACAAGATATATGTGGAGGTACTATTTGTCAAATTGTTACATAATGTTTTCAGAGAGAGATTTGATTTGTAAAAGTTTACGCTATACCAAACTTTCATTCAACCCCAAATTCTATAATTCAATAGATCATTTGATTGGTTAAATATTATACGATCTTGAGTATGAGAGAAGTTTAACAATTTGATCAATGGCATCAAAGTTACATAACCAATTTAAAACACTATGAAACAGAAAGAAGCATCCCAGCTGAAAACAGAAATTCAGAAATATTAGACGGCTTACCTTGACCATTCTGTTTTTATCACACGGCATAATCTGGTCTTGGCAGTTGTTCTCATGGACGTTGATCAAACAATCTGAAAAATATAACAGACAATATCTATAGTATAAATATTATATCTGATATCACAGCCACAACATTTCAACGTTGCTCTTTAAAATAACTAATAATATATAATTCATCTTTATAACAATTACTCCAAAACTAAAAACACTTGATCAATGTACATCTGATTAGTTTAACTTTATAATTGAATACTGTACATATTTATAAGTATTTCTATTATAAAATATAAACCTAACTAGGTGATAAACTGATGACTTTGTTTAGAGAATGAGGTGCCAGACTTAATTACATCAGCCATCATCATCGTTAGTACATCACTAATTACAACATATCATAATTAAATCATGTATAAATATCAGAATTAAGTTACAGGTGTTATGTGTGTATTTTTTAACAATTATCTTCCACGTAATAAAGAAATTAACAACTTAGCAAAAACTTAAAATCAAAAATTAAGTATCATAAACATAAAAAATGATCAAGTTGACAAACCAAAATACCAAATAAACATTGTTAGCTAATTGGAGATGCAAAGTTGGCCATGAGTCACAGAGTGGTATCAGGTGTTTTTGAAGGGTGAGCATGCCTCCCCTTATTAGCAACACCTGTATCAACTCATTTATCAGTCAATTATAAACTTCAGCTAAATCAAGGGCAAAAACTTATCTTCATTTAATGAAAAATTGTGAAAGTCAAACCTATCCCAGACATTAATAAGTTTACAGTAAAATCTTACATTTTTTACTCAAAAATTTCCACTTATCCATTATCTTTATTTATCCAGAAAAAATGTTTTAACATCACACAAATTTCACCTTAAAACACAGATTGAATATTTAAAACTAACGAAAAATATCCTAAACGATAGCATCCAACGAAATTTATTATACAATAGCTAAAACAGAACTAACAGTGTAGTCATATGTCAGGCGTTTTCTATAGAATGATATCTATTTATAGTAACAGTGTGTACCAGACATGCGTTGTAAGTTCTGGCATTCTGGTACAGATGGGAGTGATAATGTCAATTCATGATTCAAGAAACAAATTCTCCTTCCACAAATCTGGGCTACATTATCTTACATTTGATAGAATAACTCTAATAACTGGCTGATCTCTAGAGTATTATAAAATAACTCTAATAACTGGCTGATCTCTGGAGTTTTATAAAATAACTCTAATAACTGGCTGATCTCTAGAGTTTTATAAAAATAACTCTAATAACTGGCTGATCTCTAGAGTTTTATAAAAACAACTCTAATAACTGGCTGATCTCTAGAGTTTTATAAAAATAACTCTAATAACTGGCTGATCTCTAGAGTTTTATAAAATAACTCTAATAACTGGCTGATCTCTAGAGTTTTATAAAATAACTCTAATAACTAGCTGATCTCTAGAGTTTTATAAAATAACTCTAATAACTGACTGATCTCTAGAGTTTTATAAAATAACTCTAATAACTAGCTGATCTCTAGAGTTTTATAAAATAACTCTAATAACTGGCTGATCTCTAGAGTATTATAAAATAACTCTAATAACTGGCTGATCTCTGGAGTTTTATAAAATAACTCTAATAACTGGCTGATCTCTAGAGTTTTATAAAAACAACTCTAATAACTGACTGATCTCTAGAGTTTTATAAAATAACTCTAATAACTAGCTGATCTCTAGAGTTTTATAAAATAACTCTAATAACTGGCTGATCTCTAGAGTATTATAAAATAACTCTAATAACTGGCTGATCTCTGGAGTTTTATAAAATAACTCTAATAACTGGCTGATCTCTAGAGTTTTATAAAAACAACTCTAATAACTGGCTGATCTCTAGAGTTTTATAAAATAACTCTAATAACTGGCTGATCTCTAGAGTTTTATAAAAATAACTCTAATAACTGGCTGATCTCTAGAGTTTTATAAAATAACTCTAATAACTGGCTGATCTCTAGAGTTTTATAAAATAACTCTAATAACTAGCTGATCTCTAGAGTTTTATAAAAATAACTCTAATAACTGACTGATCTCTAGAGTTTTATAAAATAACTCTAATAACTGACTGATCTCTAGAGTTTTATAAAATAACTCTAATAACTAGCTGATCTCTAGAGTTTTATAAAATAACTCTAATAACTGGCTGATCTCTAGAGTTTTATAAAATAACTCTTATAACTGGCTGATCTCTAGAGTTTTATAAAATAACTCTAATAACTGGCTGATCTCTAGAGTTTTATAAAAATAACTCTAATAACTGGCTGATCTCTAGAGTTTTATAAAATAACTCTAATAACTGGCTGATCTCTAGAGTTTTATATAATAACTCTAATAACGGCTGATCTCTAGAGTTTTATAAAATAACTCTAATAACTGGCTGATCTCTAGAGTTTTATAAAATAACTCTAATAACTGGCTGATCTCTAGAGTTTTATAAAAATAACTCTAATAACTGGCTGATCTCTAGAGTTTTATAAAATAACTCTAATAACTGGCTGATCTCTAGAGTTTTATATAATAACTCTAATAACGGCTGATCTCTAGAGTTTTATAAATTGTTTCCGAGTTTATTTTGTCAGATTGACTAATAGTATTATTAGTGTTTGGAGCACCTTCTTTCCAATCTCAGAAAACATTTGGCTGTCACAGCTAAATTAGAGATAGAAAGAATGGCTAATTGCAGTCATTTCAAATCTCCACAGTTTCACCTGATTAAGATGGAGACAATATATCACCATAGTTTATCCAATATTAGAGTGTAATTATTTACATTGACAAATATCTACCAAGCTTGGCAGTGGTTTAACTGTTTACATCATGAATTATGTCACCAGTATAAATACTGTCCTCAAAAATATTCATATCATAATATCATATATTACATAATTCTTATTTTCAATTTATAAATTTCACAACTCTTAAAACTGAAAATTTGCGATAAGGGTTAGGTTACATGCTTAAACTTTGAATATTCTACAAACATGAATACCCTGAGCCCCCTCCCTACTTACCCCTTTCACCCACCCCCAAGAGAATCAAACTGTGTACTTACTTTCACATTTTAAGGCTGGTTTATTGGCCATGGTTTTATGACAGACATGACAGGCGGTGTTGTTACTGTAGCAGATTGAGACAAACTGATGAGTTGATGTATTTTTGACTTTGTTCTCCTTTTCTTTCTGTAATTAAACAATTAACAAATAATCAACAATTAATAAATAATCAACAATTAATAAATAATCAACAATTAATAATTAATGAAAGTAAAATATACTATAGAGGGAGATATAGCTGTACAGTATAACACTTACACCTGTTAAAAAATTCCTCATTTTAAATTTCACTTTATACTATTCACTATTCAAACTATACACAAGGTTGGTCCAAAACACACCACTATCTTTACAGATAGAACATATCCAAAATCATGTAAGTCAGTGAATTCAAAAAACAAAACTCAAACTCAAATCCCTGTCTTAATAGTGACACCCTTCACTGTATAAAATTCAAATTAAGTTTGAGTTAAAAATTGTGTTGGACACTCCTCTAGTTTCTGGTCATGTTAAAAAATGTTCATTCATTAAATCAATCTATCAAATTATTAATTAAAGATATACACAAAATATTTCAAATTTTCAAATAATTTAAATTTGATTGGTTGATTATTAATTACTAATTTAAATAATTTTAATTTCAATAATTGACTTATAATTATAAATTACACCTTTGTATCAGAATGTCTAATATAATACAAAATAAAATATTTTTGAGATATTCAAGACCCTCAAACTCTTGCCTACAGACACACATCTATAACTCTGTTTTACTATTGTATAACTCTGTTTTACTATTGTATAACTCTGTTTTACTATTGTATAACTCTGTTTTACTATTGTATAACTCTGTTTTACTATTGTATAACTCTGTTTTACTATTGTATAACTCTGTTTTACTATTGTATAACTCTGTTTTACTATTCTATAACTCTGTTTTACTATTCTATAACTCTGTTTTACTATTGTATTACTCTGTTTTACTATTGTATAACTCTGTTTTACTATCTGTATTATAAAATATAAAAAGTTGTGTATAATAATTGGACAGTCATGATTTGATTCTAATATTCATCTGACATTTAGATTCTAGACTAAATATATACACAGATATAAATAGCTTAAAATATTGAGTCAAACTAGCAAGTTCTGTTGAGAAACAAGCCAAGCCAGCTTTCAGCCTTTAAGAAGGCAAGATTCTCCCCTCCACAGAGATTTCAGTATGATAAAATTGTCATGTGTGTATTTATGCTGAGCCAAGTTCTCCAATTCACATTTAATTTTTGTCCTTGTCAACAAATGGCTAATATGGACATGACTTTATGATACACAATACACCTAACTTAATGTTAATATTTGTCAGGTGTAGAGATCACTTACCAGAGTGGGGGTAGTGGTTTAAACTGACCACCCAGGGACAATAGACATAGAACAATAGACAGACTGTCTATCATAACATAGAGAATATATATTACTAGTTTAATAGGTCAGTTTTATTGACTGTATTTCTGGACAGAAAATACTTACAGGCCTACAGAGATTGGTCAATGGTCAAAATACAGATTATCATATTATATCATGTAATGTTTTGAGTCAGGGGTGCTGAATTGACACACACATTTAAAAAAAAACCAACTACCTTTAACAAGGATAATTACAATCTAGAGGACTCTTTATACAAGCTGATCCTTGGTTAAATCTCTTAGTAATTATTTCACAAGAATATTAAACTAGGTTCTTGAAGATTCTGTCTACCAGCTGATCTTTGCTCAAACCTCTTGGCAATAATTTTACAAGGATAACTACTTAAGTTCTAGAGATCCTGTCTACCAGCTGATCCTTGACCAAACCTCAGATCTTTCCTGAATTATCTGTTCCTATTTACAGCTGGGTCGACTAGATTCAAGGTCTGTGGCTGTAAACACTGGCTGAGGTCATAGAACACTGGTTGTGAAAATTACTGTAGACTTCCAATATTATAGTCTGATCAAATTAAATTGATTAAATACCAGGAATAATTAAAGATAATATTAATTAGAGAATTTAATTACCTGCATTCAGAGGGAGATAAACAAATAGCCAAGATGGTGTAAAAACAAGGTAAATACTCTACAGACAGACGGAATAACCAATTAACATTGTTTACTAGTCAATAATCATAATATAAATACATAGTAATTACTACTAGTCCAGTTCATTATATAGTATAACTAGATAAATACAACAGCTTCTTGTCTAGGCTGTTCCATTCACTCCCTCTACTATAATATATCATTACTTATCATCTTGTCTAAATCAATATACTATCATTCATTCATTTATTCATTCTTTGTCTTACTTTGTTTATCTTTTTCATATTCTCAATAAGAAATATTAATTTCTTGACAATTTTTAATAATTATTTATTTAATTCAATTAATTTTATTATACATTTACTCTTATCTTTCTGTTAATATTATTCATTCAAATATTCATTTATTCATCTAGACACCCATTTTATCATTGAATTAACTCTGTATTTTAAATTATGACGGAGAATAGTTTATAATTAGCTCTGCCAACTTTTATCTTGACTTTTTATTTTAATTACCAGCAATTCTTCACTTCTTATAAACCTTTTTTTAATTCCCTGACAAAATGTTTAATGACTTTTATAACTTAGATTAAACCACTTTCCCTTCCATTCTTTCAATTATTCATTTATTCATTCATTCTTTCCTTTGCATTATCCATTCATTCATCCAATCCTTCATTAATTCATTCATTAATTCATTCATTCATCCAATCCTTCATTAATTCATTCATTATTTCATTTGCCATCACTCAAATTTTCAACATATCTTTAAGCATATTTTAGCTGTATACACTTTTAGTTTGATTTCATTCATTCAGTCATCTATCCATTCATTCATCCATCCATTCATTCACCTATCCATTCATTCATCCATCCATTCATTCACCTATCCATTCATTCATCTATCCATTCATTCATCTATCCATTCATTCATCTATCCATTCATTCATTTGTTCTTCTAAATTAATTTATCTAAATAAATTTATTTAACCTACCTTTTTATTTCTGTAGCTAATCCGAGAGAAAACGCTTGTTTTCCGTTTCTTTCCCTCCTCTTTCTTCGTTTGTTTATTTTTATCATCGCTGTCTGGAGAGGGAGAGCGTTTCAACTCTCTAAAATAGAAAATAAAAAAAACAATAATTTCTAGACTCTACAGTCAACAAAAAATCGCAGAAAATTGCACATGTAGTAGGAAGTTAGAATGTTGTTGGTTTGGTGATTAAGTGCAGTGGGTTTGAATCCTCCTGAAATTAAATTTCCGGAAACAAAATGAACTTACTCATTAAGAAAATCTTGTAAAGAAATTGAAGCCTTTTTATTGGACGTTACTGAATCTTCATCAAATTCTTCTACTTCACGTTGACGGCGAAATAACGCACTAAAAATACACACAGAGTCAAAATATTTAGTAATAATTTATACTTTAACTTTAATTACTAGATTATATCATTTAATTCACACTTAATAAAATATAATATTGATCAAAATACAATTTGAAAAGTTAAATGTTCACAAATATCTTTCTTGGACTAGAGTGGACAATTTATCCTGAAAATATGTGAAATATACCAGATAAAATAATTGTATTATTAATAAAAAACAATGAAACTAGCAAGCTATATATATATATATTTTTAGATGAATTGTTAAATACTACATTATAAAATATTGTATTATTAATAAAAAACAATGAAACTAGCAAGCTATATATATATATATTTTTAGATGAATTGTTAAATACTACATTATAAAATATTGAAATCTAAAATAATATTGTTTAATAGTTAATATTTATTTATCTATGTTTCTAAATAAACAATGAAAAGACCAAAAAAACAAAAGTTCTTTCTGGGTATATTAGAAAGTTATTTGTCCAATGGTGGACTGAAAACTGCAGAAAAAGTGCAGAATCTAAAATTCAAAAAATGCTTAGTTTTTTGTAGAAATCTATGTAATGACAAGAGCTCATCTCATATTGCTGACATGTTTCAGATATGCAATCTTAATCAGGACAACTAGTTTCAAATTGGAGGTTAACTTTTCAATATATAACTTAATGTATATATCAGCTATAAAATAAGATTTGAGAAATTAAGCACTAAGATATGTAAGTTTATGTTTTGAAGCTCTAGGTATTTAGATGAGAGGTAGAAGTTAGTTTAGAGAAGCAGGAAAAACAGAGTTATTTCCCTTATTTAGGACAGACTGATACAATGATGTTACTAATATTATTAATAAATAGTTTTTACTACACAATTATTATCATAAATTATATATTCTACTGGAAACAGAATTCAATATTATATTAATTTTCTACAAAACACGTTTAAAATCACACAATTTTATTATCAGATGAAAACAATACTGACAATAAGTTTCAGGTCCTGTATTAAATCAACAAGTATATCAAAACAGAACCTGAAACATGTTGTTATAAAGAGTGTGATCATCAGACAACTGATCTATTTGTTCTCAACCGAACTTCAATAGGGATACATGCTGTAATAGGTCAGTTGTCTGAAGACTAACACTACAATAGGGATACATGCTGTAATAGGTCAGTTGTCTGAAGACTAACACTACAATAGGGATACATGCTATAATAGATGAGTTGTCTGAAGACTACAGTAGATAATGAACTATATTTGCTAGGTAATGATGGGATAGAGAATGCTGACTAGTTTATTAGCACTACTACTAGGTGACACATTCCGGACACAGTTTTATTCTTTAAACTTCTTCCTGATTTTTACAGATTCTAGACCAACTAGTATGATATATGATAGGACAGTACAGTACAGTAGATAATCAAAAAAAGTTAACAAGCCAAAATATGTTACACCGCTACAAATTCCTTTTGATTCTGAATAAAAACATCAGTTTAAATTTTAACTGAATTAGTCAGAAATAAAACATAAAATATTACCACAGAACTCTTGTAAATTCTCAAAAATTTAACGTCACTTTTATTAATTCTGTGAAAGCAAGCCCTCAATATGAAAGTCAGAGAGAAGTTTAAGATATGAAGGCAAGAAATGAGATTATAGCATACGTCAGGCAGTCAGCGAGGGGAGATAACTTACTCATGTTCCTCAACAAGTTTTTGAATAAACTCGTGGTCACCAGAGCTGAAACGTCAACGTTGAAATTTGGGGAAAGGCAAAAAATGTAAAAAAAAATCGTAACAAATAATTTGGGACAAAAATCAAAATGGGCAAAAAATTTGAACAAAACTAATTTTTAAACCATAAAAGGAAGACCAAAACTTCCAAATAAAAACCAAAAAATACTCATGGATGGTGGAAGGAAGATGGAATTGGAGAAACAACATAAAAAAATCACGTAGACCTCAAAGCTGTGCAAAAAGACAACATTGATCGTGCCTACAAAATTTAGACTTGTTTTACCAGACAACATAGGCCCAATCAAAAAGAAACATGCTACAAAAAGGTGGATGTTACTAAAAATACTCACTGCTTTCCTTCACGATTTGCTTCTCGTCTCAAACTGCTCTTTCTATCTTCTGAAGAAAAAAAATATGAGTTACAACCAATGGTGGGATGAAATAGCTAATCTTTGTTCTACTTCAGATTTTTCAACTTGGTCTCAGTTGTTCCATGGCATGACTACATTTGACTGAGAGAAAGACTGTGAGAGAGAGACTGGGAGAGAGACTGGGAGAGAGAGACTGGGAGAGAGAGACTGGGAGAGAGAGACTGGGAGAGAGAGACTGAGAGAAAGACTGGGAGAGAGAGACTGGGAGAGAGAGACTGGGAGAGAGAGACTGGGAGAGAGAGAGACTGGGAGAGAGACTGGGAGAGAGAGACTGGGAGAGAGAGACTGGGAGAGAGAGAGACTGGGAGAGAGACTGGGAGAGAGAGACTGGGAGAGAGAGACTGGGAGAGAGAGAGACTGGGAGAGAGAGAGACTGGGAGAGAGAGAGACTGGGAGAGAGAGACTGGGAGAGAGACTGGGAGAGAGAGACTGGGAGAGAGAGAGACTGGGAGAGAGAGACTGGGAGAGAGAGACTGGGAGAGAGAGAGACTGGGAGAGAGAGAGACTGGGAGAGAGAGACTGGGAGAGAGAGACTGGGAGAGAGACTGGGAGAGAGAGACTGGGAGAGGGAGAGAGAGACTGGAAGAAAGACTGGGAGAGGGAGAGAGAGACTGGAAGAAAGACTGGGAGAGAGAGACTGGGAGAGGGAGAGAGAGACTGGAAGAAAGACTGGAGAGAGAGACTGGGAGAGAGACTGGAAGAGAGAGACTGAGAGAGAGACTGGTGTTCCCTGCCTAAGTATTCTCGAAACAATCTTAGCACTAGGATGTCCTATATTCTTATCTTCTAACGTTAATATCTAAGATATCTTAGTGCTAAAATCGTTCTGAGAATACATGGGCTGGATCTTACCTGTTGTTTTCTGTCCTGCTGCTGGTATTGATGGAGTTGAAATAGATTTTGTCATACTGGAATGTGGGATGTTCAAACAGCTGCTATCAGCTTCATCGTAAGAATTACGAGATTTACTGGCTTCCACTGAATACGTTCGAAATGTTACTTCTTTAGTTGCCGTCTCCTGAAATATAAATATCAGAAATATTATGAATAAAATAATAATGATAAAGCTGCAACAACATGAAACCTCCTTAATCCGCAAATGAGATCTTCTAAACATACATCCGGAAGAGTTCAATAAAAGATTGGAGTTTTGTGTTCATTCCTGAAGAAGACTTTGATTTTCAAAGTAACTGTATTGATGAGGATTGTATATCTGAAACACATGTGTAGTCAGCTTAAGATGAGCTCTGAGTCTTTGGACAACAACGTCAAACCTGTCACTCACCTCCACCTCTGAATTAGAACGTTTATAAACTGGATCTGAAGGTTGTTCCTCCGATTTCATGGGTCCCGAAACTGCTCCTTCTGTCAATAAACGGGCAAAATACGAACTGGCATCTGGCATATCTTCAACTGAAATAAATTAACATGTTTCAGGGTTGTTTTTTAGGCTTTGGGCTTCTTAAATTGCAGTGTGATGGATGTTGTTTTTCTTATTTTGAAGAAATGAAAGATGAAAGGTTCAGATCATATAAAATTATATTTCAGCGTTAAAGTTCTAAAGACTATAAAATGTCAAATTATCAGCTGTTAAGAACTGGATTCATGAACACTTGAATACCTTAAAAAAAGTTTGCATCTCATTACCTTATATTACCTATATATTACCTATATATTACCTATATATTACCTATATATGAATATTAGCTCAGCATGTTTAAAGGTTTGAAAAGGTATTGCTAAAGGATGAAACATACCTGTTGGACCGGACCCTGGATAATCTGCAGTAGTCGAAAAATCTACTGGTTTGTTCATTTCACCAAGTTTTATACGTGATAAACTTGGTGTGGCTTGTTCTCGTGCGTCTTGATAATCTTCTTCATCTGAACCATCGTCACCATGAGACTGTTCAGGCTCATACTGAAATACAATTTATAACACAGTTTTAAAGGAATACAGTCATATAATTATTTGATTTATCAGCTGATCGATTCTCGTGACCTGTATCACTTCTCAGAAAGAAATTTCAAAAATAATCTAAATTATTAGAAATTCATTTGCTGAAATAATAAATACTAAATAAATAAAAAACCAAGTGAACTCTTCAAAAGGGATGCTTAAATGACAAGTCTAAATACCAACTAGACAATATTATCTATGTGGACTCTCACAAAGAGAGAAATTTAACGTGGATTTTCTGTAAGATGTGATGATATTTATGTTGCAGAGTGGTGTCAGCAATAGTACTTCTAAGAATGACGTCAATTATTGACTATCACGAGAAATATCTCAAGACTTTTAATCCTGACATTATTTCAATCAGATTTTATAATAGAACTAGAAAGAGTTGGTTATTTTATTGTTAATTACTGAAGCCTATCTCTAAATTAACCTAATACAGACAGTTTAATCTGTCCTTTTAGAATTTCCTAAAATAGCAAGACCCTTATTCGAGACAAAATGTTTTATTTATGTCCATTGAGAGCAGTTGATATCTTTGATGCCTTTTTTGTAGCATCTTCAGTTTCATCAAACTTCTTTATAATGTCAAACTTCAGGGAATATTTAATTTGACTATTTCACTGTTAGTTTCAGAATAAACTTACTCGAACCATTTAGAGTTAAATTCAGACATGACTGGCTACAATCAATATCCCTGATTTCAAGTATAAAAGTTTCAGAATTTAGTAAAAAAATTGGGTGAATAATAGTTTTTTAATTTTGTTTAGGAATTGTAAAGCATGAATAATTTCCAATAGTTAAAACATCTTAGAATTATGTTTGACATTCGGAACGAGAGATTTTCAATAATTTGAATAAGAAATATCAATATATTATTATACAGTTCAGTAAACAACTATGGCAGTTAAAATTCAAAACATATCATCATAATAAAATATTGCTTGTAGCTTGGAAGAGATTACTGATAGAATCAGGGTAGATTTCCAATAAATTACCTTGTTTCTACAACTACATATAGATAATAATTCAACTGTAATCAATTCTGTTGTAATGTTGTTTTTTAATCTTCAGAAATATTCATGTTATTATTTTTATCTTTAAAACTAGAGAGATTTCAGGGAAATTTAAACATTACAGAATTATCAATACACCAGAAAATAGCAGTGAATTAATATCCATTTAAAGAGATTGTAAAGAAGTTTTCTATATTTTTTATGTGTATCAGGGACACTGATAGTTTCAATTTACACCATTCCAATTTTCAATCAGACATCTGTGGTTCTTGTTAAAGTGATTTTAAAAAGGTTTTCTAAATTTTTTATGTGTATCAGAGACACTGGTAGCATCAATTTACACCATTCTAATTTTTAATCAGACGTCTGATGTTTCTGAAATTCCACTAAAACTAAGTATTTGATGACTTATTGCTGGTCTGTTCCTTGTTCGTTGATTTTTTAAGTGTCTTATAATTATTCGGGTTTTTCAATTTTGATAAATCACATCAAGTAAAAAGGGCTACCATAGAATAAATAAAATTCAGCGAAACTCCTCTAAACTGACAGCCCTTCTATCAGAAAATATCAGTTAAACAGAGTTACATCCCTTTATGAATTGTGTACAAACCTTTTTCCTGTCAGAGCGAGCATACGAACTCTCGTGGAATGATCCTTGGAATCTTCGTCTTCTTCTTCTAAACTAGTCGTATTGGGACACCAACTTCTTCTCCGAACTTTCGCTTCATCATTTTGAATTCGAGAAATAGATTTATTTATATATTTAATATCATTAACGCTCTGATCACTATGGTTACTGGTAGAATAATCTGTCGAACTGTCTACTGTTACTCCGTTGACACAGATTCGAATGTTCGGGTCTATAATATCGGTACACACCGCGGAGGGATATGAAAAGTTGGCACTTTCCACGTAATTATTGTCATGGTTTCTGTCATCATCCACCAGGTCAAGCATAGATTTATGATGATCTGAAAAATATAAAAATTCCATTGACATAAAATGGTGTGATGCATTCTACTTTTCTGCACCAGAATGGATAGAGAAAGGCAATGCCATAGTGTGGGCAATGAGGGAAATTTATCACGAACAGGATCATTAGGCTTCTCAAACTGTTCAAAATCTTGAACTGTCTGCAACACACATTAGACTCTCGAACGACAATGTGTATTCCATGTAATTCCTCTTGACCTGCATCACTGACTGGATGAAGCCAGGTTGAAATATCTGAAGGTATTATCTCAACCTCTATGCCTGGATTAGACCTCCAGCAGGTTAATAAGCAAGCATGTTACTATGAAACCATTAGTGTGGCAACTTTTCAGAAACAGAAGCCTGGTGTTTCAATATTACCTGTTTCATGAGGATTTATTATTGTAAAATCATTAATAATACAAGGCATGCTAGCCCTTCTAGTACCCTTGATATAAATAGTCTGAGATGGATTGTTCATTTTGATGTCTCTTTAAGAGAGTTCACATAGGCTTGTATTGTAACTTTCAGAGAGTTCACATAGGCTTGTCATGTAACTTCAAGAGAGTTCACATAGGCTTGTCATGTAACTTTCAGAGAGTTCACATAGGCTTGTCATGTAACTTTCAGAGAGTTCACATAGGCTTGTCATGTAACTTTAAGAGAGTTCACATAGGCTTGTATTGTAACTTTCAGAGAGTTCACATAGGCTTGTATTGTAACTTTCAGAGAGTTCACATAGGCTTGTCTTTGAGAAGAGTCCACAAAGGCTTGTCATGTAACTTTCAGACAGTTCACTATAACTTCAAGAGAGTTCACAAGGTTTATCATGTAACTTTAAGGGAGTTCACAAGGTTTATCATGTAACTTTAAGAGAGTTCACAAAGTTTATCATGTAACTTCAAGAGAGTTCACAAAGGCTAATTATATCTTTGAGACAGAACAAACCACGGTTCGAGTCAAGTCTACAATAAAATGACAGTTCTATTATCTGGTCTGGGACATTTCCGAAATTCAATCACAAAAATAAATCATTTTCCTGACTTTACGACATCATTAATCTTATTGTAGAATTCTATATTTCATAAGAATCCAAGAAATCATTCAGAACAGAAACTAAACAATTGAAGACTACTGTGTTTCAGAAATAGTCCAATATTTTTCCTGAGTTTCTTATCTTTTTCTTTGTGGGTAAAACACAAGGGAGAAATCCTTTCATAGTCCACCACAAGTGACAATTAAGTCCATTGTCCAAAAATTATATTTTCAAACTTTGGTCATTTCAGCCACAATTCACAAGAGAATAGGCCATTGACTCAATATATGTCCTGAACTTCTCAACTCTTCTATTGTAAATATTTAAGTCCATTGTCAAAAAATTTCCAAAAATTTTGTTATTGGTTCAGATTTAGCTATAATTCTAATTGAACTCTAATTATTGACTGTTTAAAGAGAAGTAGCATGACACACAAAATGTTACTAAGGAGAGGTTTTTTTATAGCACATTTTTACCCGTTGAAAACTTCAAAATATCCAATTCTTTTTTAACAATACAATAGAACAATATCTAATTAATATTTAAAATGACAAACTGGAAAGGAGAGGACAATTTGGGTTCCCACTGTCACAAAAATCTCACGAAGTACAAACTAACCAACTGTACATAGAGATTACTTTACTCTGGGAACAAAACTCTCTTTTTCATGCCAAAAGTAAAGGATTCTTGATCTAATATAACATCATTAATTTTACATACTTCTCATGACAATATTTTACAATTTATTTGCCCTGAAATTAAAACACCTATATTCAATATGAGTTTTTAAGTTATTACCATGTATTAGACCAAGAATACTGGTAAATATAGTCAAATAATTAACACTTTACACCACTAGTCAGACATGACTGGTAAATGCAGCCTTATCAACAGTCTAGAGCTCTAGTCAGACATGACTGGTAAATACAACCAAATAATTAACATTTTACACCACTAGTCAGGCATGACTGGTAAATACAGTCTAGAGCTGTAGTCAGACATGACTGGTAAATACAGTCTAGAGCTGTAGTCAGACATGACTGGTAAATACAGTCTAGAGCTGTAGTCAGACATGACTGGTAAATACAGCCTTATCAACAGTCTAGAGATCTAGTCAGACATGACTGATCTATACAATCTAATAATAGTTTACTAAGAAGACCTTTTAGTCACACACGCAGGGCACTTACAGCTAATCAGTCAAATTAATAGACATGACTGGTAAACACATCTAAATACAACCCCTGATTCTAATCAGCCAAATCATCAGAGAAGTCAGACATGACTGGTAAATAAATCCAAAAACAAACCATGCTAATTGGCAATAAAGTAAAGAAAAGAAAGCCTAGTACAATATTATTACTCAAACATTTTGACTTGAGAACCTTCAATAAATGAACAAAAGATTTAAGAAAAGATACTGGCCAAGTTTGTTTCAGTTCAGCCTTAAAGTCAAATAAACAATAGCTAAGATATTTACTGAGGGTGGAGCAGGTCAATAAAATAATATCCACAATGACCTGGCACTTTTACTTTTATACTTTATAATACATAGTACACAGAGTTACATCAAAATCTACCGGTAGGCCATTGGGCAAGAATTATCAGAAATTTCTCAACAGTTTCTATAAAGCTTAATCTAACTCAGTAATAAATGAAACATTTTGTTGTATATTCTGGGGAACCTCTTTTCTTCAAGCTTTTTAAAAAAGATTTGTCAAGTTATAATGTTCTGTCCTTTATTGAACTAACAATGACCTCTGACAATTTGTTTCGGTCAAGAAATAAATAATTAACCAATCAAATTTAAGAACAAGAAATAGGGCTAGATGAAGAAAAAGTCAAATTTTAGAAACTGGATATACCTTTATATATCAAGATAGACTTGTTAAAGTATAAACATATTTTACTCTGGTTCTAATCATAAAACAATACTCTTGATCCAGAAACAGTTTGAATTGAAAGTTTTCCTGTGAACTGTCAGCCAAAAGATATTGTATTTTATAAAATACATGTTCAATGGTAAGAAAACAAATGTTTATCCTAAAAAATGTTTTAAACTTGGAAACACAGCATGTAGAAATTACTACCAGACTCTACCAATAGTTTTACTGTTTGAAAATTCAACTGTAGCTAGCCTTTGATAGGTCTGGTGTTCAGATCTCTGATTTAAAAATTGGAAGACTATTTTCAGTCACAATTTGGCTTACAGATGTGACAATGATTAAGATGATAACAATGTGTAAAACATTTAGATTGAAAACGTCCCCCCCCCCCCCTCCAACCCTCACTGTCTATTCCACTGCAAATCAAAATTAAAATTAAAACTGACCGTCATTGATAGAAAGAGGTGGTATATCCTGACCCTCAAGGTCTAGAGCTGGACATGATGTACTAAACCGTGCCAAGTTTTCTTTTCTCAAATCCTGAAAAATAGAAAAATTACAATATTTAGAGTAAAATCCTAGACAACAGAAGGTAATAAAATCCTTTTCTAATTTTCCAGTTTTGATTTTATGATATCAATTTGAAAAAAACAATATAGACAGTCCAAAAAATATAATTAGATAAAACACATTATTCTTACAATAAATAAAATATACAGATACAAACTTCATCTTTATCCAACTATAAATATTAACATTTTTACATCCTGTCTAAAGTAAAATCTCTGTCCAATATAATACACAATGTAGAATATGAAAACCCAACCTTTATACAGTCCGATAATATAAACAGATGAATACTCAGTGTTCCACTAACTCTTTGCTATAAATGTACAGTTTTATAAAACCTGCCTCAAGAAAAATCTAAGAAACAAAGAGTCTTTATCCAACTATGTTTTAAACGTTAAAACACTAGTATGTCCAATATAATACATAGTGAAAATATAAAACAGTAACAAAAATATAACATAGGTCATACTTCATCCAACTTTAAACATAAACGTAAAATCTTTCTTTCTCCAAATATATAACCTTGATAAACACAGTCCTCAGTAAAACTCTTTCTTTCTCCAAATATATAACCTTGATAAACACAGTCCTCAGTAAAACTCTTTCTTTCTCCAAATATATAACCTTGATAAACACAGCCCTCAGTTAAACTCTTTCTTTCTCCAAATATATAACCTTGATAAACACAGCCCCTCAGTAAAACTCTTTCTTTCTCCAAATATATAACCTTGATAAACACAGTCCTCAGTTAAACTCTTTCTTTCTCTAAATATATAACCTTGATAAACACAGCCCTCAGTAAAACTCTTTCTTTCTCTAAATATATAACCTTGATAAACACAGTCCTCAGTTAAACTCTTTCTTTCTCTAAATATATAGCCTTGATAAACACAGCCCTCAGTTAAACTCTTTCTTTCTCCAAATATATATCCTTGATAAACACAGCCCTCAGTTAAACTCTTTCTTTCTCCAAATATATAACCTTGATAAACACAGACCTCAGTTAAACTCTTTCTTTCTCCAAATATATAACCTTGATAAACACAGTCCTCAGTTAAACTCTTTCTTTCTCTAAATATATAACCTTGATAAACACAGTCCTCAGTTAAACTCTTTCTTTCTCCAAATATATAACCTTGATAAACACAGTCCTCAGTTAAACTCTTTCTTTCTCCAAATATATAACCTTGATAAACACAGTCCTCAGTTAAACTCTTTCTTTCTCTAAATTTATAACCTTGATAAACACAGTCCTCAGTTAAACTCTTTCTTTCTCTAAATATATAACCTTGATAAACACAGCCCTCAGTAAAACTTATAAACTATATAATACAATGAGAATAATATCAAAATCTGGTTTCAATTCACTGAAGACAACCAAATACTCTACTCTCTCTTGTGATATGTACAGACACCATCTTGACCCACTGGCAAATACTTCATAAATACTTCATAAATACTTAATAAAACTTTCTAAAACTTTACACAATCTTCATCTTCAATATTAAATAAAACTAGTAGACCATTTACAAACTGACTAACAATACAACTATATTATAATCTAAAAATCATACCTTTTATTGAAAATTTTTTAAACACGTTTTAATTATACTTTATTAATAGTTATGGGGTTAAACGTCAGTTTTTATTTTAGTTAAAACTTTCAGTCCAGGGAAACATTTTTCTGTATTTTGGTACATATATATTATATAGTTTTCATAAATTTGAGCAAAAATGTTTCTAAAAACAGTCTATTTAGAAATATTATGAACATCATTTCTAAACTACACGACTCAAATATTCAATATTAAAATAAGAATTTAACAACCAATTCTATAACAATTGATATTTATAATTTAATAAAATATACCAGAGTTTTAAATGTTAGAATTATAATATATAAATATATAAAATAACAACCAGATTATTGTTGGTTTCAATAATACTATATACTTATACTTAATACTAACTATGCTAACTTCACCTTATCTTGTATTGAACATTTATCTCTTTATTTGTGACCTTGGCCAGTGCTTTACATAGAAGTTAAAACTTCTTCACTCTTAACACTAATTTCACTCAGCAGAGCTGTTGGTTTGACTATGGACCTACTCTGTTTGATAAATAATAAATAATAATAGACAAGATAAGGGTGGGTATTGGTACAACTTTGACTATATAAGTTCATCATTTCAAGTTTTATTTCAAAAGAAAACTAAAAGTCGTATTTTCATTCCAACTCTTTAAAAGAAATGAAAAAACTCTGCTGAATAATCATAAAACATTTGAAATGGAAATAATCAAAAAATGCAAAAATATGTCTGAAGAGGATATTGTAATTTTGAAGTGTTAAAGTAATTTAAAGTGGAAGGTCCCCAAGTCCCTGGTCTAATTATATTCTGTATATTTACATTTTTAAAATTAGACTTTCAACATGTAAGATATTGACAATATTGTCGTTTTACATTAGTAAACAAAGAATCAATTAAAAATATTAACTTCTATTGTGGAGCTGACAATAAATGTTGAAGTCAGCAAGTTGAAATATGAAAAGAGAATATTCTGTGTTCATATCTTTGAAAGCATCTAGTTCTACAATTCTTGGCAGTTTTTTTAAAGCTGAATCTAGCTTGTTGATGAACAGAATAAAATCTAATATCTTCTGAGAGTGTGTTGATATCAATGGTTTGTAACACCATAGTAACATAATAACAAAATCACCATCAACCAGTGTTTTTAGTCTTCTTTATAAAACTTTCATTTTTCCCTGATATTATCAATATAATTTACAACATCAAACAGAGTTTTTAAGTTTTAAGATTTATCTTAGAGTTAAGATATTTTTGCTACCAGCCTATGGTTTTTGATATTTGGGATTGGTATTAAATCAGTTACTTCAGTTTGTTAACTTGGTTGATTTCCAAATATGGACAGGTAGCATGTTTGCACATGAGCGTGACTGAGTGCATGCTAGAGAGAGTTTAGTTTTGTCACCGGCGTGATGGTCTGGTCGGTAGATTCATCCTGTATATAATCGTTATTGTAATAAATTAACAATCCATCAACCAGTTTTCACAGTTAGCCAGAATGGAACTAGACTTACATCAGCCTGGAAGAGTTTGAGTATTTTACTTTAAGGATATCATGTTGTGAAAAAGTGAGAAGCTGCCTGACTGGTGTTTGAAATTACGTAAGTCAGAATAGAACTAGACCACTGGTTGTGCACGGCTTATCATGTTACTATAAATAGTTTAAACAGAGATTGTAGTGGGAGGTTTTATAACATGTGGTTAGAGATTATACTTTCACTTCCTGTTTAACAGACTGATAAGACACAGTCTGAATACACCAGACCAGTTTATACTCAAACTAGGCTAATAAATACTGACAATCCTGGCTAGTGTTGTTAAATAAACCTCTTTCACACCAGATGCTGTAAAGTGTTTGGATCTCCGTCCAGACCAGTAAGAGATCAAATATGACTATTTACAGTATAGTAAATCTCGAACAGAATTAAAACAGTTTTCAGTATGCTAGCTTGTTTACAATAATTATCATTCAATTGTTCTGTTCTGAGATTTTCTGTTCTTCTTTAAACAAAAACATCTCAACTTCAATTCATAATAAATCTTGCCGCAGTGGCCATGTATTCTCGAAACGATCTTAACGCTAGAATACCTTAGAAACAGTGTTAGATGTTAAGATTCTAGGACATCCTAGCGCTATCGTTTGAGATGCGGTTTTATTTCAATTCAATACATTTAGAACCAAGAAAAAGAAAAAGAAGTCAAAAACACCAGAAGTAAGACCAGATGTAAGATGTATATATTGAGTTAAAAAGTTGAACTGATTGTCAGAAACACCAGATGCTTCCTGATTTCCGTTTTCTCTAACAGAAAAACACCAGACGTATTCCAGTTATTCATTCAACTGATCATAAACATGTTGTTGAGGTCAGAATCGAGAGAAAACATGGCGAAAGGTCAGAAATATCAGTAGCAAATATTTCCACTGGCGGTGTTAGTTATTCCTCTGGTGGTCATGGAATTCAAATCAGGCACCAGTTATTCCAGTCTCGACTAAATATTCCACCTCTAGCCTGGTATTCCACTCAGTGCCAAGAATTCACAAATTGAGGTTTATTTGTTATTTTTGTCTGACCAATGGTCAGCTCTAGCCAAGATTATTAGGCAGGTTATTTTTAATATTTTGTTGTTCTGATTAGGGCTAAGTTTATTGGTTTCCCTCTGTTACCACAGAACCAGGATTTTCTTTCTATTTCTCCTCTCAGATTACTTGATCAATTGTGATTTTCTTTTTTGGTTTTCATAAAAAATCTTCTTCAATGTTAGAGAATATAACCTTGCTGATTTAACCAACTAATTCTTGATCAATTACAATACCCCCTTTCACCTATAAATCTTTACTTCTACATCCCTTCTCCCTATCAATCCTTACTATTCCTTACTATTTAGTGATTTTCTCTTAGAATTTCCCTACAATCTTCTTCTCATGATGGAGAATATAGCCTGACTGAATAAAACAACTTAAATTATAATAGTCCAAAAGTTTTACGCTAGATTACAATGTGCCTATTACTCGTTAAAAATGTCATTATTACCCCAATCATAGAATATAAGGGAATACAGCCATTTAAATATTAGTTTTTCTACCAGAATGCGTTACAACATTCTTCTGAAAGTCAATTCTTTAAGAAAATCAGAAAAATTCATTAAAAGGCAGACAAAGAGAATGATTTAGTTGAAAGAATATAAGACACATTAAGGTCACCCGTGAACACAGATTTATCAAATCAAATTATCAAGTTCAGAACAATCTGAGACTAAACGCCACTGGCCTAATAAGTTTTTTATTAGTTTTTTATGGGAAATTTTATTAACTTTATCAAAGTCTGGAACTTTTCCCTCAGGTGGCGGAATTGACTAGCCTGTGATATAAAAACTAAATAAATATACCTAGCTAGTTCTGTACCATCTTCACAATATTATAGTATTGAGAATTCAGTCTGTTACCTTGACAGATACTTGATACTTTTCTTGTATTTCACAAGTATGTGATTTGATTGGATTGTATGCTAGCCAAAACAGCCAATTGCAGCCCTTGGTATGCACAGCCAAACTGAGGACTTGCATGATAGAAGATAGATGCCCAGTTTTTCAGTTGTTGAAGGTTCTGTTTGGCTGTATCTACCAGCCATTAATCCAATCAAATCACAGCATTTACAAACTTCTGTGATACCAGAAACATGATGTCAAGGTATAAGGAGTATGTAATACCTTGACATTGTGAAGATGATATAGTAATGAAGGTGGTATATTTGAGAGAATGTCCTGCTGAAATAGTTAGTAAGAGAAGTTAAGTACTAACAGATGTATTATATATAGTAATAATAATAAAGTCTATAGCAAGGTGGTTTTGGAGAACTACCTGTTGATAATCTCCTAATACTTCTACACAATTAATTTTCATATAAATAAATACAACAATTACTTTTCATATAAATAAATACAACAATTACTTTTCATATAAATAAATACAACAATTACTTTTCATTTAAATAAATACAACAATTACTTTTCATATAAATAAATACAACAATTACTTTTCATATAAATAAATACAACAAACAGGGAGTGTTTCCTTCTAATTTTTTCCCCTTACAGTACTAATGTAATGGGTAACACTATGCAGTAGGCAATGAAGTAAATTTTGTCATATGGTAAGGTTGTCTTGTCTTTGTCCATTTATAACAGTACAGTAAAGTTTTTTTTCTTGATTTTCTGGGCCCCAAACAGGAAAAAGTGGAAGGGCAGGGACTTGTCGTCAGTTACAGACAGAGACCAGTGAGATTGAGATCGGAGATGCTTAATTTACAATCAGTGCTAGGAGTAAATGAAAACTATATCAGAACCTATTTTACATGTCACTGAAACAAATCAATGTATCAAAGACAACATAAAAACAGACACTGTCACCAAGAAATCCTCCAGTTTGAGGCCATATAAAGAATTAAAGTCTATCAAGAATGAAGTTTGAAGTTAATTAGGGTTTTAACTACTATCAAGGGATTAAATTAAAATATTGACCCTGAAGGTTTTTAAAAGTTCAAATTCTTGTTTTAAGAAGATTATTTTAATATAAAAACATTAATTTGACATTTGAATTTTATAATATGATATTTAACTACAAATCACTTTCAGCAATCTATTAGGATGAGACATTGCTGACAGTATTGATAGGTCATTGAGAATCAACTTCACAATGTTAAGATATTACGAACTTCTTCATATACCTTGACTTCAATAACCACTATTCTTGTAACAAATCTTCACAAAGCTATTACAAACTTCATCTTATACCTTAACAGCAATAGCCACCTTCCTTGTATCACCGAATTGGGCTATTATTTTTCTTGATCGTACACCAGTGAATACAGCCAATCCTAAAATCAGGACCTAAATACTTTTATAGTACCATATAGTAACATAAATTTAACCTAAATGGTGGTATAGTTGAACAACCAATTGGCCTTTAAAATATTGACCCATTCAGTGGAAAATAAGATCTAGAAAGTTAAAGATGTGTTAACAACTAACAGTATTATAGAACACTTCACTAGTTATCAGTTTAGAAAATAACATCAGCTTCCAATTATCTCTCAGCAGAAAAATACCATCTGAAACCTTTACTAAAATCTCAGTCTGTTGAGAAGGGTGTTGATTCACTGGTAAAGTTAATAAATTTGGTTTGCAGTCCCCAGGGCTATTATGAGTGCCACATGCACAATATTGTCCTGATGTTAGACCTGAAACCTTCCAACCTGCCAACTGTATTATACAGCAGTTAACCAGTTAACTATTAACCTCTTTTCTTCCAGAGACAATTTCTAATAATTAGAAAGAAAATGAGTTGATAAAGAGGTAAAAGGATAGAAATTAGTGAATAACGATGTTGTCGTCGTAGTTACGATCTCGCTAAACGAACAACCTCATATTGATCTCTAGTCATTTCAGAGGCTTCTGTTGATTGGAATTTTTAACCAATCGTTAAAGCCGTTATCAGTGATTGCCCCTGATTGATTGGTGCAACAATTTAGCCTAAAATTATTTTGTTTATGAATTCTGTAAGCTAAGATAATTCTGGTGTTCTATTCACTAACAATTCTATTTGAGAACAGGATGTAGCTTATTAGGTTAGATAGTTAGAATCTTAATGTCATTTGCTTGGTTGAGTTTAACTAATAGCAGTTGTGGGTTCATGTCTTGGTCATTTTTTAAGACATCAAATGCCTGTGCAAAATAAAGAACACCTTGGGTGGGATAATATATACTTGAACGAGTGATTTAACATCCAATTGTTTTGGGTGTAACCATGGTATTTCCAGAAAAGAGTATATTAATGCTAAAACCTACTGACTGGATGCCCTTTATAGATTATTACAGAAACTACAAAGTCATTAAAAAAAAACCAAACAAATAACCTTTGAACAAATGATATTAACATTACTGTACATCTGAAAAAATCAAATTCAAATTTTTAATATGAAAAAAAACTGTAACAAGAAAGTATATTCTTGCAAAAACTTGATCAAAATAAATTACACAAGTTCAGCGTCAGGTGTCAGTATAAACATTCAGACAATCCCATCGCTTAAAAAATACCAAAAATATTCACCCCACCTTTAACACCTAGCTAGAATTGACATTTCAAACTTCTAAAGAATAAGGAATGGTCTGTTTGACGCCTCGATGAAATTACATGATTTATAACTTACAACAAAGCGAAAGTAGAAAGAAACGCAACCTTTCACCTTTCTGTCGACTACCAGCTCGTTTTTTTGTGTTAGGTTTCCTGTTTTTTTGAAGTTTTGCCCAGATTGAGTAGAAGTTGAAAGAGAACTAAGATTAATTACCTACAGAGTTAGGTGGCATCAAGCAGGATATGCTTACTCTTCTAGACACCTGATACCATTATGAAATACTTACTCTTCTAGACACCTGATACCACTTTCATTATGAAATACTTACTCTTCTAGACACCTGATACTACTTTCATTATGAAATACTTACTCTTCTAGACACCTGATACCACTTTCATTATGAAATACTTACTCAATTATTATTGATATACATTCTCATGTGAAAAGCCCATTAGTTGCTACTAATGTTTCACCAATATATTGTTTTGGATTTCAGGTTTGTTTTGCGGTTAGGATCGTAAGGACTTGGTTTATTTATATATCACTGAATGGAAGGCAAGGAGAAAAGGGGAGATCTACAACTAAATTGATCAGAAAATAACCAGCCTATACTGGTTGAGATCTGATCATTACACGTTTTTTTCATTCATACACCTGGAAGACTATCTTTTATTGGTTCATATGCTTCTTGGATCATCAGGGAAGATCAGGTGTAAAAAAGGACAAATTGTAAGTTTTGAAGAAGAGCATATTCCAGCCAATCAAAACCATTCACTTTAATCTTATTCAAACTATCAGCAATATTTTATCTATGAGAAATAGATTTGGAAACATTCTTTCACCTATTTGACCATTTTCCTTAAAACAACTTGGGCTAACTCTGGTCAACACTTTAACACAAATAGCGCCTGTTAATCTTAGTTTAAGATGTTATTACGTGCTGTATAAAAAGGTTAAATTGGACCAAATACATGAAGATCATCTCATCTGCCACGAATAAGATGGATCTTAACAACTTCTACCTTTGTTATTCATAAACAATTGAAATATTTTTTATAACATATTGGAATTGTTTGGACCAGATTCAAATATTTTTAGAATTCGGTTAAATGATTACAGATCAATCAACCTAAAAACTCTTCAACTAGCAGGTACCAGTTATCAATATTTATACTTTCTCATGATTCATTTCAGGAATCAGACCATCCTGATGCCAATACGACTGGGTTAGTCCATGTTCTACCCTCAAGAGATCACAATCCTTTAATCTCTACCAAACAAACCAGTTATCAATATCTGTTCTATCTCTTGATTGTATTCAGAGATTTCTGAGAGCTTTCCATAATGCCGCGATACCTTACCGAACAATTGAATCCACTGAAGGTTTATCAATGATTTCAGAGAGTCCACAATCTAAATCACCAGTTATCAATATATATTCTATCTCTTGATTGTATTCAGAGATTTCTTTCAGCTTTTCATAACATCTGATGCAACATTCAAGAGAGTCCACATAGCTAATATTGTTCATTTAGTAGTCATTTAGGTTTGTCAATTGGGAATCCCTTTCAGAGAGTTCACATAGCTAATATTGTTTATATGGTAGTTAGGTTTGTCAACTTTGTATCCCTTTCAGAGAGTTCACATAGCTAATATTGTTTATATGGTAGTTAGGTTTGCCAACTTGGTCTGCATACTATACCTGATTTGCACTTAGCTTTCCTGATGATGGAATTACTATCCAAAACGTGCATTTACTGAAAGAATTCTTTTAATCTTAAATCAATTTTTTTACAGATGAATTTTGACCATTTAACAACTCTGTTTCAATTAGTGGCACGTTTAATTTAACTCTAGATAATCAAATCACCATTTTCTATTTAGAACCAATCAAAGTTGATCGTTTCGTGGAACTTCAAAATCCCCAAGCTCATTCCTAGAATTAGCGTAAATCCACCTTGTTATTTAATTTCAGCCTCTCGAACGAAACCTTTCACTTTAAGTCAGATTTTTTTGCGAGCATTTCACCCGAGTTATTAGCTCTTTTATTTTCTTTTGACATGTCCCAACGGATTTAAAAAAAAAAAATTTGAACATTTCACAGAAAAAAAAAACGAACAGAACTTTTAGAGCAAGATTTTTTCAAGTTTTAAAGGACAAGTTTTATTTATTAGATTAAAGAAGAAACTAATTGATGAAGACACATTGTGGTTTTATTCCCTGTTTTAACCTCCTTTACTGAAAGATGTTTTCTGCCTTCGCAATTCCATCTTTTAAAACCTGAGGTAATTCTAACCAAGCTCAAACATATAAATCTTTCAATGCTGTACATTATCACTTTCATTAGAGAGGAAGAAACAACCATACATAGGATCTTGTCTACCAGCTGGTCCCTGGTCAAACCTCTTGACAATGCTTCTACAAGGATAGCAA